GGGCTCCAATGTCTTATCAGAGTCGAGAAATGCGGTTCGTTCCACGGCTACCTTCTACGAGATTGGTATCGTTTCCGTAAGCTGTGTTAGCAATTGAGAATTCGCCACCAGCTGAGTGAACAGACAAGTGAGCCAGGTTGAGGAATGCAGACTGTATGCACTGCTGCGAATTGATGATCGACTCTGCCGCACGCATAGTTCCGAAATAGAGTTTGATTGTCGACTGGCAAGAGATCATAGGCACTTGGTGAGGAGAGTAGTCGCGCGTACCGAAGTTATGCCTTTTGCGAGGCGATCCCAGATAGAAAGTTTTTGAACAAGGACGAAAGAAAAGGTCTCGTCAGAGTGCCTACAGAACTTCCAAAAACTCAGGTATAATCGGAAAAAGATCACAGTGGTGACCGAATGAGCAAGTACACGCGAGTGTGGGTTGACATATACTATATCCAGTTTATACACAGCACGCGTCTGGGGGTACTTTTTAACGATGTTCACAGTGTGACAACAATTGTGCTGCTGCGCAATTGGTCGAAATGGGTTTTTCACCGGGTCCAGGTGGCTCAAGGGGTTAGAGCGCGAATTTACTGACCGGAAGGTGCGAGGTTCGAACCCGACCTCTGGCTCTCGACTTCCCCTGTCTAAGCTTGGGCGACCTGACAGTATCCCAGCCCTCGTGCCTCCTTCGTGTGGCATGGCAGCTAGGCACCGAAAGGGCGCTACAGCTGAACGATTTCACCGACACTGACCCCAACGTCCCTTAGCGACATGATATTACTGTCGTTGACTATGAATAGCACGATGCAGAAGGGCGAGATGACTCATTGGTCAGAGCGCGGATTTAGTGACAGAAAGGTCCGTGGTTCGAACCCGACCTCTACATCTCAGCTTGTTCTGTCTAGGTTTGGGCAACCTGGCAGTATCCAGCTCTCTTCCTTTGGACAGCATGGCAGCCAGACACCGAAAGGATGTTACAGCTGAACAGACGGCACGGCACTTGGACAATGTCCTCCCAAGTGACAACCTGCAATATTGAAAAAATCCGTCCGCCATAAAATGGAGTACGTTGGATAAGTTGAAATTCTTCATATAAGAACACAGCCAAGGGACAGCTCTCTTCGCTTTCAGACAATTCAGTGTGTGTTGATATTTCAGCCAACACCACCCTCAGTCTCCTACTACCTCAGCGGTATAATTGTGGCTACTACCCACAAAGACTCGAGAGTTTCGCTCTTATTAGGGCTCATCAGCTCCAGGCGGTGGCGGGATGTATACTCGCGAGGCGGGTGCATTAGCACTACTTCACTGGTGCCTACTGGGCTCAACTAAATGGGCAAATGAGTTTATGTTCGACTGATTCGAGAGACGACAGGACGCACTGTATCGTCAATCGTTCTCTTAAGGAGATCAATCCATCTTTTCGAAACAGCACTGCAGTCACAACTCCGTGAGTTTCAAGTTTTCTAAGTGTGCCGTGCGAAAACAGTATACCCGACGGTTCTGCTGGCTCGCACTGGCTAATTGATGAAGCTTGAAATATTGCTGCCATTTCAATTCACAGAAGTGAAGAGCGTTATAGTATGGAAAGGCCCATGCTTATGCGAGCCTGAACGGAACTGACCTCGAAGTCGACTCATCTCATCGTAAGGGTGTACTGTCGCAAGCAACACCTTTTCACGTTGGGACATTATGCAAGATATAGCAGTAGAAATCAGAAAATGACGGATGCTCAATCCCAGAGAATAGCACACCTTGTCAGGGGACCACCTTATTACTGAGTGATTTTTGGGTCTCATTAAGAGATACTTTGCAATTGCTGCCGAGTCGCGGCACCACATGAAACGTTGGGTCGACATGACAAGGGTGCGAACATCATGGTTAGCTCAGCAGCTGAACAGAACCGATAACCCTTGTGGTCCCGATAAAATATCCATAAGGGACAGCTAATCAGATGGCCAATCAGCTGATCGTAGCAGAACGGTTCCGTGTTCAACCAATGACGTCGCGGGTTCGAAACTCTCTCAGTTTGGTGCGATGCGCACTACTTACGCGTGTCAACAAGGATGAAACAGTACTTCTAAGCTTCTCATTATAGATTGGCTTCACTGACAGAATGAAATCTCAATTGGAAATATCCATCAATTCAAACTCGAAACTTGTCAAGTTTCGTGGTACCCAATGAGGACGAGGCACCTGTACAGTTATTCTGGGCTTTTCATTATAGATTGGCTTCACTGACAGAATGAAATCTCAATTGGAAATATCCATCAATTCAAACGTCAATTTTCGACAATTGATGTCGCAATCGTTTGGTTGCTCGTCCATCGAACTACCGTCAGTGGCGTGCACCCCAGCCTTATCGGTTAGGCATTATCTGAAACAAAGATTCCAACCAGAAAGCAGAACGAGAAGCTATCGATCTACCTGCCTTGGTATGCATCAAAGTCCGTAATTAGAAAACAGTATCACGTAATGACGTGAAATGTCCAGCTAGATAGTGGCACAAATGTTGGTACAACTAGTTTACGATTTGTGCGCATTTTTCCAGTGATGCGATGGAACAGCCGTCATCTGCTGTGCTGGGTATGTGAGTGGTTCGGCCTAATTTTACCGTAGACTGGAATTTCAAGGTCATCGCACATGCACTGGCCTAATCACGAGTTACTACCCTTTGATTGGCTTACGTCACAGTACGTAAAACGGTGAGCGGACCAGACGCACGATCATAGCTGGCACTGCGATACTCTTCATCTGAAATGACCTTGGAAAGGCCAAATCTGTCCAAATAACAGATGCCATACAGGTGGTATCTTTTCGAACCTCCCACATGTAGAATATGTTAACGCAACCTGAAGTCTTTATCTGTTTCCCTCTCACCTGCTTGACACGGCTTTCCAAATCAAGTCCCCGGGTAAGCAACCGTGTCACTTCGGACTGTTGGTTCAGAAATGCATCTGACTTCTTAGCGAGTTCGTCGGACAGCGTGCGGATATGCATGTTGGCCGACACGAGTTGACGAGCACAGTCGCGGATCAGGGCAGTTTCGTGTTCGTCCAGTTGATCTGCCGTCATTGTGAGACGGTTGCGCTGAAAAAATTGTCAAGAGATGGGTAAATAGGGGAGAAATGTAGAGGTTAAGTAAGCAGATTTAGACATCTGGGTCGCAGTACACATATGACATCTTGAATCCTACTGTCAGGACTTGGGTAGTCAATAAAAGGGACCATTGAGCCAACAAAGCCTTAGCTTACTAACAGGAAGACTGAACGTTTTTACTGTGAGTCAGACAGAGGTATCGGCTCACCGTTGAACAAGATAAGAGTAGCTAAAGCCGCAAAATTACTGATCGGAAGGTCCGTGGTTTGAATCAAACCCCTGCATTCCAGCTGCTGCTGTTTTGGTCTGGTCTCAGCCCTCTTGCTTCCTTCGGTGTACGGTCAGCCGCCCCTAGTAACCGGACATCACATCATTTGGACGGATGTGTCACGTACAGGACACGGACCTAACGAAGCCATGCCCTGATTAGTCAGAATGCCAGCCAATTCGAGTCGAGCATCTTTGACTCGACGCTTCTCGCCACCTCGCGGTGATTTTAGCACGACCTTGTGGAACACTCTGTGACTACCCTATAGATACAGTTGTAATAATTTTCTTTTGTCTTCATAAAGGGCTGACTGGAGCTACCGTGCCTTTTGATATACCACTGTGGGCGGAGCAGGAAGCAAAGGGACCGATACAGAGTTGAACGATCGTTAACAAGTTACAACATTTGGGTTGCGTGGCAGCTAGGTACAGAGAGGGTGTTACGGCTGGACAACTATTGCCCATTACTAGCCAAAATTGCAAACAAAACCACTACATATAAAGATATTTTCGCTTCTTGGTCGAAGCAAGCCTACGTAAAATGGTCATGACAATGTGGGAAGAAGAACAATTCTGGCACGATGAGTCACCAGATAAGCTCGGCTAAAAAGGAATACTCATCAGCTTAGTCACGCAACCTCTCGCATGCATTCCAGGCCAGACAAAGCCTTTCCTGGCGTGAATCAATATCTTCCAAATGCTCCATCAACGAAGTAGACGTACCCTTAGAACACACACACACACAAACCAGCAACAACCGCTGTCGGGACGTATAGCAGATTCGAAAGGAAACGTGGAAGAGAATGATTAGTGGGAGAGAGGAGAAAAGCCAAAACATGGACAATCGATCGAAAGGAATGCATACTTTCAAATGCATACACATTCCAATCGCCCCTGCACTAGACTCAAGTCCAGTTATGATGGGAAACTCTTGTCCGAGAAGATCACGTCGGGAAAACATCGTTAGTAGAAACAGTGCGATGCCATCGACCTGAAAGAGCAGTGTTCTTTCGGTGTTCCTTTTACGTTCAAAGATGGGTGCTCCGCCAAAAAAAAACAGATTCTGTGCCTCGAAAATCGTTCTCCCCAAGGGATGTTCCTTTATGAACAAGTACTCTGTTCACTACTGTCCAAACGCTAATTGCATTAGTCTTGTTGTTTATGGACTTGACTTACTTCCTCACGTAAGATGTAATTCTCCTCCTCGAGTTCACGAACCTTACGATTCAGTTGATTGAAGTTGACAGAAGAAACGGAAAAGGTTCCTGCTCCACTGTCGGATCTGCACAGAAACGCACGTGGAAAGGGCCGATGAAGGGAAAATAGTGACAGCAATAAAAGAACAAGGGAAACGAGACACGACCGGACCTCCGGTTCCTTAAATTTGTTCACGGTGTGCTTAGGGTTTCACAGGTAGACGGAGCCCACGAGTTTCTATGCATCACATAGTTCAAATTGAACAGAAACAGGCTAAAACAATGACGGGGATTTGTTGAGGTGTTCGTCAGGTTACGAGAAAGCTGCCGGGATCCACCTTCCATCCAAAACGAGTTCTTTTTGTCAGTGACAAGTTAGAACGAACAAACAGTCACTGGTTAACTACAGCATCACATGATCAGCCAGGTGTTATGCCACAGCATTTTCGTGTATGCTAAATAGGTGGAGCCTCGGTGATTCATGACAACTCGGAGCTTCGGTTACGTAACAGCACACGCAAAGAAACTCCTGAACGCACCTTTCAAGGTGCCTGGCAAATCGGGAAGGTGGGTAAAGGCTGGACCTATGACCTTTTGAAGTTCTATCTCCTACTGTGGTATTAGTCCATGCACATCAATAAGCCGAGTGCTGATGCTGACTGAATGGTCGGCTGGAAAACTGGATCAATAATGTCAAAGAAAACGCCCCATGCCATGCTCAGCCACTGCAATGGTTCTGTGCTTATTGGCTAACGCGATCTTCCAGCAGAATATAATCTCAACCATACAACAAAAAGTGACCCCAGCCGACATTAATCACAGTGTACAGCATTACAGAGTCGCTCTGAGCTCGAATTCAGGCTCCGCCTAATGTGAGTGGCCATATTTTCGACTTTAAAAGATAAGAATCGCTAGACAAAACCCTATTTAGCTTCCCGAAAGGTGAGCTTTCGAAGCGAAGGTTGATTCAACTGGCTTGAACATTCGAATAAAAATAAGCACATTGTGACGGCCAAAAGCAACCCTGCAGCAAACATAAACCAAGTAGAATGAAAAACGAACAAGCTTGAATTTGTTCATTGACCTTTGATCTACACAGAAATTCCAATTTTAAAGTTAAATTACTGACCCTCCCAACAGAGACGCCTCCGAAGAAAGGCCAAACGGTCCTATTGGCTGTGATCAGGACATGAATCAATACGAGTGAAAACTTACCGCGGATCAATACCGTTTGGCGGACTAATCCAGCCAGAAGAGGTGGTGCCATCATCACCTGATTCGTCCACGTGATCACGACTGTAAATTTGAAGTAGGCTGTCCTTGATCGATAAACTATGCCGGAGTTGACTCACCTAAAGTAAAATGAGAAAGGTTTCCGGGTGATGACCACGAGGACATACAGCTGTTTCAATTGAGATTCTGTCCTGTTAGTAAGGAGAAGCCGAGAAGCATTGAAGAACGTCTTATTGGAAGGCATCCGAGATGCACAAGTTAAGCGCTCGCGGGAGAACGGTTAAGTGTTCAAACGTGGCCAAAAGGTCATCGGTTCGAAACTACCTGGAGTTTCCTGAGAGGCGAACTGTTGATTGCAACGAAGAATGAAACAGCTGTACAGTGCTTCTCGGCCTTTCAGCACGAATAAGCTCCATGGACAGGACAAAGTTTCTACTGAAAATTACCAAATATCCTTACGCCCAGATGAAGAAAAACTTCACAACATGAGTGAAACTTTCATCGGAAAAGTCATCATAATCGAGGAGTATGTCAATAGGTGACCACGTGATATGGTCTATGTGAGCAGATGAGTGACGTTATATCCTGTATAAGTAAGAGTTAATCACACTGCTATTCTGGCCTATCCAAAGACAGTCAGGTGATCAAACTAGCTGTCGGGACGGTCACGAGTTCGAACTTCCGTTTAGATTCGTCAGATACGCACTGCTGATAATTCCCGATAAGGAATCACCTCACAGGCCTCTCAACTAAAACCTACCGAATTCCCTTGCAATACCATCCAGACATACGATGTGACCAAGGGTACGCGTTCACTTTTTTGCACTGAGGTGGGTTGCGAACTCTAAACGCATACAGCGTTTTCATGAACGACAAGTCTAGGCACAACTTCTGTGGTGGGTTGCAAATCTTATCATCATCAT